TAAGACACTGTGCTGGCTTAACTTCTTATTTTTACTGAACCTTAATCCTTGCTGTTTTTCTGAATATTCTGGTTTAGCTTAAGAAGTGTCCAGCAACCTTGTCCTGCCAGGCTTGGAGACTGAAACCTCACTTCTTGCTCAGAATAAAATGGCCCTTTTACAATTCTTGTAAATAGTTAATTTAGAAGTTCTTTCTTTCTTTCTTTCTTTCTTTCTTTCTTTCTTTCTTTCTTTCCTTCTACATTTCTCTTTTCCTTCTCATCATGTACACATCCTTCAGAAATTTCACACTTTCAAATTAGCCTTCAAACCTTCTTTCTATGTCCTTCAAAAATGCATAACCATGCCTCAGACTTTCCATTAAGTATTTCTCTTACTTTCAAGAAAGTATACATCAATATTTCAATATTGTTTAGCCCAGCAATGCTCCAAAGTCTTTAAGTGAATAAAGACTTGGAAAATTATGTATAGGTATACGAGGCTGGAGAAAATGCAGGGGGAGGAGGGAATAGGCCCCACAGCCTGTACCCAGGCTTCTAGCCACTTGGATTTTAAAGTTGCCGCATTTTTCCTAGAGGTAATGATCTCAGTTTCTGATAATAGCCGGACTGTTGAGTAAACCTGTGCAGTAGTAAGATGCAGTGTAGAGGTGAGGTGGCTAATGGCTGTGAAACTAATCCGTCAACCCCCATAATAGAGACTGAGGAGTGGACAAGGGTCCCAGCGAATTCGGAGAGGGCAGAATAAGTGGCCGCAGTGTCAATTAAAAAGGAGATCGGCTTACCTGTCGCCACAGTTGTTACCCAAGGCTCTGTCCTGGTGGTGTAAGTCTGTGGGGCCCTGATCGGGTCTTTGATTTTGGAGATGGGTTTCCTCGTCTCTATTATTAAAGACCTTAAAGGTCAGGTTAACAAGGTCTTCTTGAGGGGTTTGTGGAAGTTTGCTTCGCATGTCAGGGGAGTAAAGGTGGTGAGGTCAGTGGAAAAAGAAACCTGAGATGCCTCTCAATCTGTGTGAGGCTGGACATCTCAGGATTTGGGTAGGGACTGGGGAGAGGGCGGCTGCTGGTTAGGAGGATCTGAAGAGAAAGAGCCAAGGCGTTTTTCGATTTGAGAAAGATCAGAGAGTGAAAAGGGAATGGCTACGTGGATAATACCCTTCCCCGCCACAACCTTGCGCAAAGGAAACTGGCCAGCCAGCTATGAATTTTGTTGTTGGTGGTCACGAGGGGGTCGGGGGGTAGAGATTCCGCGGAGAGTGCACAGGGGAAGGCAGGCGGTTAGAGGTCTCAGAGGGTAGAGCATGGGATGTGGATTCTACGACAGGGTTTTAAGGGGTGGCTGGGGCTGGTGAGGTGGCGATGAATGATCGGCTGGTCGAAAGAGTCAGAAGACAGAGAAAGGAGCTGAGAATCAGTTTGAGGGCAAAGAGGACTTTGCGAGGAGATTTGATGGGTGGAACATGAAAAGTAAAGCGAGGGGTGGGAGCAGAGGGGAAATAAAACCTGTTAGTAGGGATTTTGAAAGCTTTCCCTGTCCGGTGGCAAAAATTATCTAGGTCTCGGAGGATATTAGAATCGAAAGTGCCATTTTCGGGCCATTTACATTGTGGCCAGGTAGAGCTTCTTTGGTTTGATGTAGCCAGAAAGACCAAGGGTTGAGAGAAACACACCCGAGGGGGTTTGGACCAAGAGGTCCCCATGACCGGAGGGAAGGGTGAGCAGAAATTGGGGAAGGAACAAGGAGCGGCCTCCTTTTCCCTCAGCCAACCTGTAGTGAGAGAGACGAGAAAAGGTTCCAAGGTTGTCACCCTGAGACCTTTCCTGTGGAGTATAAGAGAATTCCCGGCCAGGTACCTGGGCTGTCATAGAATGTATGAAACATGTAGCTGAGTAGATGGGAAACTCTGTAGACCCTAATCCCCTCCAGGTCACAGGGAGTGAGAGAAAAAAAGAGAGAGAGTGTGTGTTGGGAAAGTCCCTGCAGCCTACTGGTGGAAGGGAAGCGATGAGATCCCCCACGTGTCCTGGTGTGGCAGGGTTTGAGAGGTGTCCGGAGGAGGCAAATCAACTCAGAACCGTACCACCGAGCAGAGCCAGAGTAGGAGTCAGAAGCTCGGGCCTAGGTTCAAGGATCGTCCAACTCCCGTTCACCTCTCTCAGGTGGCACCAAAAAAAATGAAAAATCAGACAGAGGCCGAAAAGCAGGACTACAGGCTTTATTAGAGGAGAAGGACCTGCTGGGCTGCCTTTCAAGGGGAGAACAGCAGCACGTGCAGGGGTGGGCACGCCTTTTGAGGGGTGGAATGGGAAGGGGTGGGGGCTTAGTGTACTCGGAGCACACTGATTGGTGGCTTACTGCATTGTCCATATAGGACAGGGGTTAGGGTATTTGGCAGGTGTGGATTGGTGGTCCAATGTATAG